AAGACCAGCCTGGACAACAAAGCAAGACCTTATCTCGACAAAAAATAAAAAAATTAGCAAGGCATGGTGGCATGGCCCTGTAGTCCTTGCTACTTGGTGGGCTGAGGTGTGAGGATCCATTGAGCCCAGGAGATCGAGGCTGCAGTGTGCTACGATTGCATCACTGCACTCTACCATTCTGGGCCACCGAAACCCAGCTAATTTTTATTTTCATAGAGAATAGGATATTGCTTTGTTGCCCAGGCTTGCCTTAAACTTTTGGCTTCAAGTGATTCTCCCACCTCAGCCTCCCAAAGTGCTGGGAATGATCTAGCCCACCAGGCCTTCTTTAATTTCTAACAGCATTTTTTTTTTTTTTTTTGAGACAGAGTCTCGGTCTGTCGCCAGGCTGGAGTGCAGTGGCGCAATCTTGGCTCACTGCAACCTCTGCCTCCTGGGTTCAAGTGATTCTCCTGCCTCAGCCTCCCAAGTAGCTGGGACTACAGGCACACGCCACCAGGCCCAGTCAATTTTTGTATTTTTAGCAGAGACAGGGTTTCACCATGTTGGCCAGGATGGTCTCTCTCTTGACCTTAAGTGATCCGCCCGCCTAAGCCTCCCAACTAACAGCAATATTTTATTGCTTTCATAGTAAAAGTGTTTTAATCTGTTTGTGGTGCTATAACAAAACACTACAGACTGGGGAATTTATGAGTAACAGAATTGTATTTCTTTTCTTTTTTTTTTTTTTTGAGATGGAGTCTCACTATGTCGCCAAGGCTGGAGTATGGTCGTGCAATCTCAGCTTACTGCAACCTCCACCTGCAAGGTTCAAGCCTCAGCCTGGGTTCTCCTGCCTCAGCCTCCTGAGTAGCTGGGGTTACAGGTGCCCACCACAATGCCCAGCTAATTTTTGTATTTTTAGTAGAGATGGGATTTTGCCATGTTGGCAAGGCTGGTCTCGAACTCTTGATCTCAGGTGATCCACCCACCTCAGCCTTCCAAAGTGCTGGGATTACAGGCATGAGCCACCACACCTGGCCAGCATTTTATTTCCTTTCTTTTTCTTTTTTTTACCCTGAGATGGAGTTTTGGTCTTATTGCCCAGGCTGGAGTGCAATGGCGCGATCTTGGCTCACTACAACCTCCGCCTCCTGGGTTCAAGCGATTCTCCTGCCTCAGCCTCCCGAGTAGCTGGGACTACAGGCGCCCACAACCGCGCCCGGCTAATTTTTTCTATTTTTAGTAGAGACGGGGTTTCACCGTGGTCTCGATCTCCTGACCTTGTGATCCGCCCGCCTCGGCCTCCCAAAGTGCTGGGATTACAGGCGTGAGCCACCGCGCCCGGCCTGAATTTTATTTTCTTATGGTCTGGAAATTTGGAAATCCAAGATCAAGGTACTAGTACTCAGTGTCTGATGAGGGCATTCTTGCTGCATCCTCATTTGGTGGAAGGCAGGAGAGAGTAGAAAGTTTAGTTCCTTCCAGCACTTTAATAAACTCACTAATCCACCCATTTACTCACGATTTAATCACCTGCTAAAGGTCCCACCTCTTAATGCTATCACATTGGTGATTACGTTTCAAGCAGTTGGGGTTAGCTATATGCAAGCTCTGTTCTGAGTGCAGCAGATGAAGTTTAAGTGCCTGCCCAAAAGCAGGCAGCTGGCGAGTGGCCACTGGTGGACTATGAACCAAGCACTGGGCTTTTAAACACTCTCACTTGCATGATCCTCCAGTTGCCCTCTTAGAACTCCCTTGTGCCAGGCCGGGGCACGGGTGGCTAAGCCTTGTACTCCAGCCA